GCATGCAAGCCAGGGACTACCTCGACTCTGCTCCGAATGATGAATGATGCATGCTTGAGTTGCCTTGTGTGGAAATCCACTGCGATGCCCCAATTAGCCTCTGTTTACAATTATTCTTGGAATGCGTGCCAAGCTCCGGAAGGCTGCTGATTCTTGATTTGCTGCAACAGAGAGCAAGAAAGGGACATGGCAATGTATTTTCACATATGTATGCTTGACTACTCTTCAGGGAGTGTAGTCCTCGATCCTCGTGCCACCAATCACACATATCGATACATGATGGTCGAGGAGTCGATTTGCATGACTTAATATGAAATGAATGCACATATAAACATAGCAAGACCTAAACACCATCACGGGTAATCCGGAGCGTCGGCGACCAGGAATTGAGACACGTTCCGTCACTCGGAGTAAAAAATGTACCTCGTTTCCCGTGCTTGGGCTAACTCCTATCCCAAGCACTATGCAATATGCATGAATGCAATCCTAACATGCGACCTAGCATACACAATGCTATGAAATGGCATACACAATGCTCGATGTGACATGGCATGCACAATGCTCTAACATACAACCTAACATACACAATGCTATGAAATGAAATGGCATACACAATACACAATGGACTTACACCAACATGAGTGGACCTCAGCCACACTCACATCAGTTGCCATTAGGTGAAAATGAGACTCTCGAAGTACGTGCACGTATGCACGCAAACCGAGGACCGATCCTAAGCATAACATGCAACTCTAATAAGGTATGGCAAGGCATGAAATATGGTATGCAAACATGCAAATTTCAGTGCTGAAATATCATACAAAACAGCCCCAAAACGTGGAAACATGGCACCCGATGCATGGAATGGTCCCGAAACACAAAACTAGGCATATGCATTGACCTATAGCTATACAAAGCATGCATTATTTGATCATGAAGCATGAAAACAGAGGCAAGACAGTCCCAAAACATGCATATTTCCAGTTTATAACAAGTCTCAAATATGAACACAAATAGGGCTAATCTATCATGCAAAAATGGCCCTAAAAGGGAGACTAAACACAAGGGACAAAAGCTGACCCCAAATGGCAAAGAGCCCCTCAACAAAGTTGAAGAGGGGCTCAAAATAAGGCACTTTGCAGTTTACATCCAGCAACGAAAATAATCACAAATAAGGCCAAACTAACATGCAAGAAAAGGCCTAAAAGATGGGTAAAGAGACAAGTGGTAGCTGCTGTTCTCAAACAGAGGAGAGCCCTTCAACAAAGTTTAAGAGGGGCTCAAAAAAAGACATTTTACAGTTTATGGAAAAGTCCAAAACAGCTCACAAATAGGTCTAAAATACTATGTAAAAATTGGCCTAAAAGAGAGATAAAGAGGAAAGTGATAGTAGGAGACCTCAAACAGAGGAGAGTCCTTCAACAATGTTGAAGAGGGGCTCAAAAAAAGTTATTTTACAGTTTATGGAAAAGTCCAAAACAACTCAAAAATAAGGCTACAATGTGATGTAAAAAGAGGCCCTAAAAGAGGGATAAAGAAACAAGTGATAGTAAGAGACCTCAAACAGAGGAAGATCCCTTCAACAATGTTGAAGAGGGGCTCAAAAAAAGTTATTTTACAGTTTGGCTCGGAGCCCAAAATGATAAAAAACAAGGCTAATATATCATGCAAGATTAGGCCCTAAAAGAGAATAAAGAAGCAAGTGGTAGTAGGAGACCTCAACAGCAGGAGGGTCCTTGATCAAACATGAAAAAGAGATCAAAATATGGCTATTTACAGTTTGGGTCGGAGCCCAAAAATGCTTGCAAAGCAAGGCTTATGTATAGAACAAGAAAGACTAAGAAGAGGAGAAAGAGGACTCACCCTTGAAGACCAAACTTCAGCAGCTCTTTGGACCAAATTTCTGAGCTCTCAACCTCTTCAAAGCAGTCCCAAAATGCTGGAATGGAGGATGGAGGTCTTGTGCTATGGGTTGTGTGTAAATGGCCAAGAACCAAGGTGTGTTTGAGACTTGGAAGAGAAGGATGGAGGAGATATGTATGCAAGGCTCCTAATGATTTTTTTCAACCTTTGGAATGGTGGAGATGGTGCTGGTCTTATAGAAGAAGCAAGGAAAGGGGGGGAATCAAATTCAAATTTCCCCCAAAAGACCCCCCATCGGATACAGGATCTGGGGGAAACAGAGGGTACAGCTGGAAGGAACCAGGTGAGAGGATTCTGGCCGACCAGTTTAGAAGGTTCAGGGGGCCGGCCGGCCACCTCCCCTGGTCGGCCGACCAGGGGTCAAAAGGGTCAATCACAATTTCTGATCGGCCTACCAAGAAAAGGTGGCCTCCCAGATGAGCACAACACAACCCTGTAGAGAAAAACCAGAAACAGTGACCTAGGAGAGAGAAAAGCTAGCTTTTAAGAGGGGTTCAAAAGGGTCAGGATAATTGCTGGTCGCCACCAAATATTGGTGGCCTCCCAGGTGTGTACAACACAAATATGGGGTTTAGGGTTGAAGAAAGTGGCCCCGGGGTGGTCAACATTAGCTTTTTAGTGAGGAAAACGGGCGACGGAGGGCGATGAAGAACTAAAGCTGATTTTTCAGAACAATTGCTGGCCTCCCACCCTCCTACAAGCTTTCTAACTATGAAATTAAGGTCTCCACCAAAAATGAACCGAAACCGATGCAAAACGGAGGTTCGGGGAACCGAAACGCACGGCTCGGGGCCCCGAAAATGGGCTGTTAAGCACCGGAGGTGGCGTTCGACCACGAAGTTGGTTTCTCAGGCGACAGTGTCCCTCAAAAGGGAGTAAATAAGTTGCATACCAAAAATCGGGGCAAACGGAGGTGGTTAGGCAGTCCCGAACCGAGGCACACGGTCGTCGGCTCCGAAAAATCGAAAACCGGGCTCCAAACGGGAAAAAAATGGCCTACAACCACGAAACGTAGCCTACGGCCACTGAGAGATGATCTACGAGACCTCTCCCTCCCTGGGGGAAGAGAAAATAGAGCCTGGTTTTCAAACCGAGACAAGGCACGAAAGAGTCCGGAAGTCCGGAGGGAAGGCTCACAGCCAAGATTCTGAAACTTCCGAACAAGCACAATATGCAATATCACCGAGCGCTCAATCAATGACGTCTGAGTCTTAAGGTCGGTAAAAAGTGGGGTGTCTACAACCTCTTGGAGCACACCCCAAGTACCAAACCCAAACCTTATAAACCCATTCAAAACTTCCCACCAAATCAATGTGGGACAAGCCATTTTACAATCTTAAGGAATTTTCACCAAAACTCCATTTCCATGGAGCACACTTTGGCTTCAATTTTCCATTCACTCGGTAATGGTTTTGAGCAACCAAATATACCACGTGAATCACAACGCGGCATAAAACGCGTTACCACTTTGACCCGTGAAAATCGACGCATGGAGCCTAGCTAAAAAATAGACCAAACTTAGGATAAAATTCTGATTTTACCTAGAATTTATAACCATTTCTAACGGTGTTTAATCAAGGCGTGGTTAGTGGTGGTTGTTGTGTGCTCCGGGATGACCGGAAGGGATGTACGGTGTGTACATGGCCCTTGTATTGTTGTTTATTGTTGTGTACTCCCAGTGATTGGATGGATCGTGGGGGTTAGATCTTGTCAGAAAAGTGAGATTGTTTCCTCACCTTGTTAGTGTGTATCTACCAGTTGGAACCGGGATTGGTTAGGGATTGTAATACACGGGGTTTTGCAGACAGGTTGATCAGGTAGTTGACTGTCTTATGTTAACTTTGAGGGTTGATCCAGGTGTTAGATCCCTGGTAGAATGGTTCGGGTGATCCGTTAGACTATTTCAGGTTGACTGTGTCGGGTTGGGAGGTAGGGGCTTGGGTTGTCAAGTGTGAGATTTTGAGAGTTAACGTTTTATTTTGCTTTTACTGCTTAATGTATACCTGTCATAGCATGCATACATATAGTATAGAGGCTTTGATAGTGAGCACAGTGGATGTTGCCCACTCCCCTACAGTTTCAAGTACGGCTTGGACCGGTGACTGGACGAGGGATGGGACTTCATCGGGGCTGAAGAGAAGGCTGTATTTACTTTCATTGTATTTATTTCTGTTTAATAAATCAGAAACCATTTTGTAAATTAATGTAATCTTTTAATAACAATCCTGTTTAATTTATTGTTGTACATCTTTTATTTCTGGTTTGGTTTGGAAGTGGGAGAAGTTAATCAAGAAAATGGAGTTTTCTATTAATAAAATCACGTGTAGTTAATTAGTTTCCGCCTAATTAACTTGTTGAAAATCAGGGCGTGACACTACGATTCTGATTCCCACCTCATCGCCATCCGTCGGATCACTGAAGGCTTTGCTAGCTTGGAAAGCACACCATCTTTGAAAATGGGATTGAGGCAGCGTTTGCTTCACACGGGACCGATGAGGCATACCTATTCAAAGAAGATTCCTACGCACTCATCAACTTTGCTCCTGGCCCCACAAATGACTCACTGCTAGAAATTAGGCTTTTAGCGGCGTTTAAAAAACGCCGCTATAGGTACCAAAAACGTCGTCAATTCTTTTTGTGACGTTTAATACCAAACGCCGATGACGCGGCCGTCGCTATAACTTTATGGCGTTTGGAAAACGTCGCTGTATTAGTATAGGCGGCGTTTTTAAAAACGCCGCCAAATGCCCTGCCCTAACAATACTGTGACGTCAGTATGATTTTAGCGACGTTTTTAAAACGCCTTCATAGGTTTTTTTAATTTTAAAAATTCCAACCGTTATAGTGGCATTTGAAAAACGCCGTCTTATCTTTCTTTTTTTTTTTTGGTTTTGAAATTGTGCTAATTTTATGTGATTGAACTAAAAGAACACCAATAATAAAACTAAATAACACTAATATGAAATAATAACTCCCATTCAAATAACAAATATAGTATTAATTCACTTTCCCATTCAATTTAATATAGCATTAATTTTTCCACAAAATAACATATCCAAAAATTGAATTCACAATTCTCAATCAAAAAATTACTACCTTATATACAAAGCCACAAAAGTTAAATCCAATTGAAACATAAAACCAATAAGTACCTTAAAAATGTCTTGGCTTCGAATTTTGGAAGATACATTACAGGGATTTAAAATTATTAGAGAAACTTACTAGAAAAGGCTTATGCCGATGACTATGAATGGCAATATATTAGCTAGAACAAACACAACTAGCTGAGTCCTAATTAATGAATTAGGAATCATTTAGATTATCTAAGGCAATGGCAAATCATTCGCATGCTTATATTAATGTTTCTCCTACGTAAAACATTTTCGGAAAGTGTTAAAAAAAGAATAAAGAACAGGAAATAAACTCGGCCGAAGTTCTGGGTTTTCTCCGCAGCATGCTTTTGATGAGGGCCTGACTGGAAAACAAAAATAGAGCAAGGATTAGATTAAGACACTAATTAAAGGCCACAATATACAAATAAGAACACAATTCCTCACAAGGAAAAATCTAAATTTTCATAGGCATCAAAAATATGCCAAGTTGCAACTTGCATTCATGATTGCATTATAACTTATATATGTATTTATGTGACATTTGTGTATACACTTACCCAAGGACCAAATGTCTGACTTAGAGCCATAAGGTATGTCAGCAAGAAGCTCAGGGCACATATAACTTGGAGTTCCTACAACCTGAGTTACGAAAAAGAAATCTTGAACAATAAAACTAATGCAAATGTTGAAACTTGAAAAATGAACCAGTTAACCACAAGACTTACAGAGGATGCAAGATCATCTGATGGCAACATCTTAGCAAGTCCAAAATCACCTGCAACAGGATTAATCAATGGTGATTCAGCAAAATACTGACACCTCTCAAGACTATTAAAGAAAGAAAACAATTGAACAAGCTATAAGCAATTGAACAAGCTATTTACACAGCTTCTATAAACAATTTAACATCAATGTATCAGTGAACAAAGAAATTGTGAGCTGATACAAACTGAAAACTGCAGAGGTGGGAGGTAGAATGCAGTACAATCTAGATTGCGACAACAGAAAAGAAAACGAAACAATATAAATGTGATGCTAAGATACTAGAAATATAAAACAACCTCATCGGAAAAAAGAACACCATTTGCTTTCTTTATAGCTTCTGCCCTGTAAAAGACAAAGTAGCAAAAAAGATGACATCATAGATTGCATGTAAAGTTTCAGCCCAAGTAAATGGATTAAGCCAAGTATTGCAGTTTTAGCCAGAAAAGTCACTCACATGTCTCCTCCTTCACAATAACCAATAATGATGCATACATAGCAGCCCTGAGAGCCAAGACAATGAAATTGTGAATTGTAACATCCAAAAAATGACAGACCATATGCAACTATTCTGAAGTGAATAGAAAAATTATTAAGAGAGCACAACTAGCTTAATTAGCTTAAGAGAGCACAACTATTCTGAAGACAGCACAACTAGCTTAATTAGCTTAAGAGAGCACAACTATTCTGAAGACAGCACAACTAGCTTAATTAGCTTAAGAGAGCACAACTATTCTGAAGACAGCACAACTAGCTTAATTAGCTTAAGAGAGCACAACTATTCTGAAGACAGCACAACTAGCTTAATTAGCTTAAGAGAGCACAACTATTCTGAAGACAGCACAACTAGCTTAATTAGCTTAAGAGAGCACAACTATTCTGAAGACAGCACAACTAGCTTAATTAGCTTAAGAGAGCACAACTATTCTGAAGACAGCACAACTAGCTTAATTAGCTTAAGAGAGCACAACTATTCTGAAGACAGCACAACTAGCTTAATTAGCTTAAGAGAGCACAACTATTCTGAAGACAGCACAACTAGCTTAATTAGCTTAAGAGAGCACAACTATTCTGAAGACAGCACAACTAGCTTAATTAGCTTAAGAGAGCACAACTATTCTGAAGACAGCACAACTAGCTTAATTAGCTTAAGAGAGCACAACTATTCTGAAGACAGCACAACTAGCTTAATTAGCTTAAGAGAGCACAACTATTCTGAAGACAGCACAACTAGCTTAATTAGCTTAAGAGAGCACAACTATTCTGAAGACAGCACAACTAGCTTAATTAGCTTAAGAGAGCACAACTATTCTGAAGACAGCACAACTAGCTTAATTAGCTTAAGAGAGCACAACTATTCTGAAGACAGCACAACTAGCTTAATTAGCTTAAGAGAGCACAACTATTCTGAAGACAGCACAACTAGCTTAATTAGCTTAAGAGAGCACAACTATTCTGAAGACAGCACAACTAGCTTAATTAGCTTAAGAGAGCACAACTATTCTGAAGACAGCACAACTAGCTTAATTAGCTTAATGAGCTTAAGAGAGCACAACTATTCTGAAGACAGCACAACTAGCTTAATTAGCTTAAGAGAGCACAACTATTCTGAAGACAGCACAACTAGCTTAATTAGCTTAAGAGAGCACAACTATTCTGAAGACAGCACAACTAGCTTAATTAGCTTAAGAGAGCACAACTATTCTGAAGACAGCACAACTAGCTTAATTAGCTTAAGAGAGCACAACTATTCTGAAGACAGCACAACTAGCTTAATTAGCTTAAGAGAGCACAACTATTCTGAAGACAGCACAACTAGCTTAATTAGCTTAATGAGCTTAAGAGAGCACAACTATTCTGAAGACAGCACAACTAGCTTAATTAGCTTAAGAGAGCACAACTATTCTGAAGACAGCACAACTAGCTTAATTAGCTTAAGAGAGCACAACTATTCTGAAGACAGCACAACTAGCTTAATTAGCTTAAGAGAGCACAACTATTCTGAAGACAGCACAACTAGCTTAATTAGCTTAAGAGAGCACAACTATTCTGAAGACAGCACAACTAGCTTAATTAGCTTAAGAGAGCACAACTATTCTGAAGACAGCACAACTAGCTTAATTAGCTTAATGAGCTTAAGAGAGCACAACTATTCTGAAGACAGCACAACTAGCTTAATTAGCTTAAGAGAGCACAACTATTCTGAAGACAGCACAACTAGCTTAATTAGCTTAAGAGAGCACAACTATTCTGAAGACAGCACAACTAGCTTAATTAGCTTAAGAGAGCACAACTATTCTGAAGACAGCACAACTAGCTTAATTAGCTTAAGAGAGCACAACTATTCTGAAGACAGCACAACTAGCTTAATTAGCTTAAGAGAGCACAACTATTCTGAAGACAGCACAACTAGCTTAATTAGCTTAATGAGCTTAAGAGAGCACAACTATTCTGAAGACAGCACAACTAGCTTAATTAGCTTAAGAGAGCACAACTATTCTGAAGACAGCACAACTAGCTTAATTAGCTTAAGAGAGCACAACTATTCTGAAGACAGCACAACTAGCTTAATTAGCTTAAGAGAGCACAACTATTCTGAAGACAGCACAACTAGCTTAATTAGCTTAAGAGAGCACAACTATTCTGAAGACAGCACAACTAGCTTAATTAGCTTAAGAGAGCACAACTATTCTGAAGACAGCACAACTAGCTTAATTAGCTTAATGAGCTTAAGAGAGCACAACTATTCTGAAGACAGCACAACTAGCTTAATTAGCTTAAGAGAGCACAACTATTCTGAAGACAGCACAACTAGCTTAATTAGCTTAAGAGAGCACAACTATTCTGAAGACAGCACAACTAGCTTAATTAGCTTAAGAGAGCACAACTATTCTGAAGACAGCACAACTAGCTTAATTAGCTTAAGAGAGCACAACTATTCTGAAGACAGCACAACTAGCTTAATTAGCTTAAGAGAGCACAACTATTCTGAAGACAGCACAACTAGCTTAATTAGCTTAATGAGCTTAAGAGAGCACAACTATTCTGAAGACAGCACAACTAGCTTAATTAGCTTAAGAGAGCACAACTATTCTGAAGACAGCACAACTAGCTTAATTAGCTTAAGAGAGCACAACTATTCTGAAGACAGCACAACTAGCTTAATTAGCTTAAGAGAGCACAACTATTCTGAAGACAGCACAACTAGCTTAATTAGCTTAAGAGAGCACAACTATTCTGAAGACAGCACAACTAGCTTAATTAGCTTAAGAGAGCACAACTATTCTGAAGACAGCACAACTAGCTTAATTAGCTTAATGAGCTTAAGAGAGCACAACTATTCTGAAGACAGCACAACTAGCTTAATTAGCTTAAGAGAGCACAACTATTCTGAAGACAGCACAACTAGCTTAATTAGCTTAAGAGAGCACAACTATTCTGAAGACAGCACAACTAGCTTAATTAGCTTAAGAGAGCACAACTATTCTGAAGACAGCACAACTAGCTTAATTAGCTTAAGAGAGCACAACTATTCTGAAGACAGCACAACTAGCTTAATTAGCTTAAGAGAGCACAACTATTCTGAAGACAGCACAACTAGCTTAATTAGCTTAATGAGCTTAAGAGAGCACAACTATTCTGAAGACAGCACAACTAGCTTAATTAGCTTAAGAGAGCACAACTATTCTGAAGACAGCACAACTAGCTTAATTAGCTTAAGAGAGCACAACTATTCTGAAGACAGCACAACTAGCTTAATTAGCTTAAGAGAGCACAACTATTCTGAAGACAGCACAACTAGCTTAATTAGCTTAAGAGAGCACAACTATTCTGAAGACAGCACAACTAGCTTAATTAGCTTAAGAGAGCACAACTATTCTGAAGACAGCACAACTAGCTTAATTAGCTTAATGAGCTTAAGAGAGCACAACTATTCTGAAGACAGCACAACTAGCTTAATTAGCTTAAGAGAGCACAACTATTCTGAAGACAGCACAACTAGCTTAATTAGCTTAAGAGAGCACAACTATTCTGAAGACAGCACAACTAGCTTAATTAGCTTAAGAGAGCACAACTATTCTGAAGACAGCACAACTAGCTTAATTAGCTTAAGAGAGCACAACTATTCTGAAGACAGCACAACTAGCTTAATTAGCTTAAGAGAGCACAACTATTCTGAAGACAGCACAACTAGCTTAATTAGCTTAATGAGCTTAAGAGAGCACAACTATTCTGAAGACAGCACAACTAGCTTAATTAGCTTAAGAGAGCACAACTATTCTGAAGACAGCACAACTAGCTTAATTAGCTTAAGAGAGCACAACTATTCTGAAGACAGCACAACTAGCTTAATTAGCTTAAGAGAGCACAACTATTCTGAAGACAGCACAACTAGCTTAATTAGCTTAAGAGAGCACAACTATTCTGAAGACAGCACAACTAGCTTAATTAGCTTAAGAGAGCACAACTATTCTGAAGACAGCACAACTAGCTTAATTAGCTTAATGAGCTTAAGAGAGCACAACTATTCTGAAGACAGCACAACTAGCTTAATTAGCTTAAGAGAGCACAACTATTCTGAAGACAGCACAACTAGCTTAATTAGCTTAAGAGAGCACAACTATTCTGAAGACAGCACAACTAGCTTAATTAGCTTAAGAGAGCACAACTATTCTGAAGACAGCACAACTAGCTTAATTAGCTTAAGAGAGCACAACTATTCTGAAGACAGCACAACTAGCTTAATTAGCTTAAGAGAGCACAACTATTCTGAAGACAGCACAACTAGCTTAATTAGCTTAATGAGCTTAAGAGAGCACAACTATTCTGAAGACAGCACAACTAGCTTAATTAGCTTAAGAGAGCACAACTATTCTGAAGACAGCACAACTAGCTTAATTAGCTTAAGAGAGCACAACTATTCTGAAGACAGCACAACTAGCTTAATTAGCTTAAGAGAGCACAACTATTCTGAAGACAGCACAACTAGCTTAATTAGCTTAAGAGAGCACAACTATTCTGAAGACAGCACAACTAGCTTAATTAGCTTAAGAGAGCACAACTATTCTGAAGACAGCACAACTAGCTTAATTAGCTTAATGAGCTTAAGAGAGCACAACTATTCTGAAGACAGCACAACTAGCTTAATTAGCTTAAGAGAGCACAACTATTCTGAAGACAGCACAACTAGCTTAATTAGCTTAAGAGAGCACAACTATTCTGAAGACAGCACAACTAGCTTAATTAGCTTAAGAGAGCACAACTATTCTGAAGACAGCACAACTAGCTTAATTAGCTTAAGAGAGCACAACTATTCTGAAGACAGCACAACTAGCTTAATTAGCTTAAGAGAGCACAACTATTCTGAAGACAGCACAACTAGCTTAATTAGCTTAATGAGCTTAAGAGAGCACAACTATTCTGAAGACAGCACAACTAGCTTAATTAGCTTAAGAGAGCACAACTATTCTGAAGACAGCACAACTAGCTTAATTAGCTTAAGAGAGCACAACTATTCTGAAGACAGCACAACTAGCTTAATTAGCTTAAGAGAGCACAACTATTCTGAAGACAGCACAACTAGCTTAATTAGCTTAAGAGAGCACAACTATTCTGAAGA